TTCCTAGCAGGCACAGGACGTTGAAATGTCATCAGATTGACATTGTAGCCCAATGTTGTGAGACGTTGCATTTTGTTTGGAAATAAAATTGAGTTGACGCCAGAACCCACTGTAATCATCCATTCTATTGGCCCAACGACTAAATCCAATGAATGGTCGAAGATTAAATGCATTTGAAAAGCCTTTTCTATAGCTAATTCTGCTATTTATCAGAATTTATTTACTTATTTATTTCCAGATCCGAATGTAATCTGACTCCAATTTTAAGTGATCATTAAATTTAGACTGTGTTTCTAAATAATAACATATCACATTCATCACCAGTTAATAAATTTAGGGATTTGATTATTTCAGATACACTATACTTTCAGTTAATCTTTCATTGGGGACCATGCGTGGCCAATTTCACATGCCTTCACCCAGGGGTGTTGCAACCAGGGGGATGGGGGTAGAGGTCTGCGGGACCCGACCAGATTTCTATGGCACGGGAATAAATTTCCAAATAAAGCGCAGGAGCGGTCAGTAACTGGTTTAATTTTGGACGAGAGCAGGCCGTCTAGCAATATCGCTCCCAAGTGAGCGAGCACGCGTATGTATGTGTGTGAATGAGACGTGAATGAGAGTGATGCTGTGTTTAGCTTGTTTGTTGCTGTGTGTGTGAGTGTGTGTGTGTGCGCGAATGAGAGTGAGAGCTTTGTCTGTGAGTGTGCTTGGTGCTTATGTGTGTGTGTGTGTGTGTGTGTGTGTGTGTGTGTGTGTGTGTGTGTGTGTGTGTGTGTGTGTGTGTGTGTGTGCATGCGTGCGTGTGTGTTTATACAGACAGCTTGTTATAGGCTGTCTGGACTCTGTATACTGTATAGCTGGGTGGTTTTTGGTTTTGTTCTCCCCTCCTCCCCGCTCTTTCGGTTAGAAAATAATTGTATGGTCATAATAATTGTATGAACATAAAGTTTTAAATATCATTCAACTGTACCCCCACTTTTAAAATGTCTGCTACGCCCCTGCCTTCCCCATTTGGGCTCTCCAGCTTGATTCTTAGTCAGAAGTTTGCATGCGAGTGGTAAGTCGGCCGCCTACTGCTTGTTCTGCGACAGAAAAGGTAGTCTACCCAGTCTTTTACCATGCAACTTGCCAGATCAAAAGTGGTCAGAAAGTAAAAGGTCTACAAATAGGTGCTCTCTGCTTCTTTATTTGGTATCCTCTAGATTGATCTACACTGACCGTAAAACACCAAAGGTCTTTTACTTTAATTAATTATTATAACTTAGTTATTAAACTGATTACAGCATGTTTAGAAATGTGTTGAGCAGGACATATTTGCAAAAGTTAAATAAAATTTTATAGGAGAGCTAATCATTTTGTGTATAGCTGCATGCCATTGGTTACCAATTTTCAACATTCTTCAAAATACCTTTTTTTGTGTTCAACAGAAGAAAACAAACACTTAAACCTAAAGTCTGGAAGCGTTTGATTTGTGTTAAACATATTCAACTGTCTTTTATGCAGTCCAAAATACAAATCGACTCACGTTGGTTTGAGTCCAAGCTGGACCAGTTGGCAATTCTGTTTGCAGTTTGCATGTTCTCCCCGTGTTTGCGTTGGTTTCCCCCACAGTCCAAATACATGTGGCCAAAGACATGCGTTATAGGTGAATCGAATAAACTAAATTGTTACTATTGTATGAGTGTGCATGTGAATGAGTGTGTATGGGTGTTTCCCAGTGCTGGGTTGCAGCTGGAAGGGCATCCGCTGCATAAAACATATGCTGGAATAGTTGGTGGTTCATTCCACTGTGGCGACCTCTGAAATAGAGACTAAGCTGGAGGAAAATGAATGAATGAACATCTGAAATAAAGAAATTACGCTAAAGTCACGCTTGTAATCAAGTCAACCTTGAATTCCTAATGTAAACTGTAGGAGACCTCAGCAAGTTTTCTCATAGACCCGTCGTGATTTAAACTGACAGGTCAAAAACTTCATCCTGTGTGGATAAATGTCCTTGTTCAATGTAAGCGGATGTAGAGGGGTAGAAGGACTTAGAAATGCTATGTCTTTATCAGACGGGGGGTGCGGATGATTGATGGCGGCGCTGGGGTTTTCCTCGGCGTCACATTTCCATCGTTGGAAGGCTGTGAAATGGAGCTGTCACCGTGTAGCAGCGCTGATCGTGTCTGATAGAGCGGGTTATCTACACGCGGGCGGCGCACCTAGGAGGTCATATCGCATGCCCACTGCTGCCGCAAATAGGGATGGATGGCAGTGTACAAATACTGCTTATCTGCACAGCTATCAAGACGTTTATTGTGTTTCCCAGTACACAGCCACTTACAGACTGCTGCCGTATCAGATTGTCCTGTTCGTACTTTCAAAGAGACCACGGGTATCAGCTTTACAAATTAGCACAGATACACGTTTCGAGCGGAGATAAAGGAATTGCAATTTTTGAAAGTGGTTTTCGTAACATGAAGTATGGCCGTTTTTTTAGACTGAGCATTCTCAGATAGATTATAATGCAACAATTGGGTTCTGTGAGGTTGATAAAAGGTGTTTTTTTGTGTGAAATGCATAATTCAGAGATACAGTTTCACTTATTTATGTGTAAAAAAGTTATATATAACTTTGTATATATATATATTGGATTCTAATCTAGCAATCAGAATAAATCATGTTGTGTTTCAGACATTGTCAACACGCACTGCAGACATTACAGCCAGTGATGTCCATTGAAGACACTGCCATGAAGTGATGCCCTCTCCTAAGCTAAAATAGCTAATTCAATGAATCAATTTCAGTCTTTCTACTTTCAACTATGGTGGCCAAGAGAGCTTAACACTCTGCAATTTAAGTACATGCAATTGCAAAAACACCAGCAAATAAAGAAATGATACTTATCAATTTGACAGCACACGTTGCAAATTGGTCACAACACAAACAACTGAAGAAACGCGTAGCTATTGGTCACAACACAAACAACTAAAGAAAGGCACCGCTATTGGTCACAACACAAACAACTGAAGAAACGCGCAGCTATTGGTCACAACACAAACAACTGAAGAAACGCGCAGATATTGGTCACAACACAAACAACTAAAGAAACGCGCAGCTATTGGTCACAACACAAACAACTGAAGAAACGCGCAGCTATTGGTCACAAAACAAACAACTGAAAAAACGAGCAGCTATTGGTCACAACACAAACAACTGAAGAAACGCGCAGCTATTGGTCACAACACAAACTACTGAAGAAACGCGCAGCTATTGGTCACAACACAAACAACTGAAGAAACGTGCAGCTATTGGTCACAACACAAACAACTGAAGAAACGCGCAGCTATTGGTCACAACACAAACAACTGAAGAAACGCGTAGCTATTGGTCACAAAACAAACAACTGAAAAAATGAGCAGCTATTGGTCACAACACAAACAACTGAAGAAACGCGCAGCTATTGGTCACAACACAAACAACTGAAGAAACGCGCAGCTATTGGTCACAACACAAACAACTGAAGAAACGCGCAGCTATTGGTCACAACACAAACAACTGAAGAAACGCGCAGCTATTGGTCACAACACAAACAACTGAAGAAACGCGCAGCTATTGGTCACAACACAAACAACTGAAGAAACGCGCAGCTATTGGTCACAACACAAACAACTGAAGAAACGCGCAGCTATTGGTCACAACACAAACAACTGAAGAAACGCGCAGCTATTGGTCACAACACAAACAACTGAAGAAACGCGCAGCTATTGGTCACAACACAAACAACTGAAGAAACGCGCAGCTATTGGTCACAACACAAACAACTGAAGAAACGCGCAGCTATTGGTCACAACACAAACAACTGAAGAAACGCGCAGCTATTGGTCACAACACAAACAACTGAAGAAACGCGCAGCTATTGGTCACAACACAAACAACTGAAGAAACGTGCAGCTATTGGTAACAACACAAACAACTGAAAAAAATGCGCAGCTATTGGTAAAAACACAAACAACTGAAGAAACACGCAGCTATTGGTAACAACACAAACAACTGAAAAAAATGCGCAGCTATTGGTAAAAACACAAACAACTGAAGAAACACGCAGCTATTGGTCACAACACAAAAAACTGAATAAACGCATCGCTATTGGTCACAACACAAACAACTGAAGAAACGCGCAGCTATTGGTCACAACACAAAAAACTCAAGAAACACGCAGCAAATTGGTCACAACACTTGCAAATATACACGTAACACAACGTAAATGTTTAAAGGACAAACCCAAAAACAGGGCCTAAAAACATGACGGACCCCGCTGAGATATGGATGTTTTTTTTTATTTATTTATTTTATTTTTTTATTTTTTATTTATTTGATATTTGATATTGTTTAATCAGGATGTTAAAATAAACAAAAAAACAACTCATCTTTCAAAGACCACCAATCACTTCACTGAGCAACAGTCATGGCATAATAATACATACATATATAATAATAGAGAAGACTCCAGATCCAGATCTGTCTTTACATTACTGTGATGGTTGGGTTTAGGGTTGGTGTAGAAGGGGTAGACATTAACAAAATACAATTAATGGGAAATTTTATAAATTAAATAAATAATTTTCGTTAACTTCTGGCCGCAGCCATATGTGATCTATAGCTGATTAACCTAGTGGATGAATGATAACAGCCTTCTGCGGCTACTGGCCCATGTCTTTCAGCTGATAACCACTAATAATGCCCATTCCATTGATAGATAACGTTCAAATCGGCTGAAAACTGGAAACTGTTCATTAAGAAATATGTTTTACATGTGTCAAATTGGATTGTTCCAAAGTCTAAAAAGTTGGTTGAGATTCTCAAAAACAAAATCTTGCTAGTCTCGAGTGCCTTGGAGTCCACACCTTTTTTTTTATATTTAAGATGGTATAAAAGAAAGCATTTAGATGTTTTCATTTAAATATTTATGTTTTGTATTTATTATTATTTATAAATTTACTTTTTGTCTTCAGTCCTGTCCCCACAATCACCTGGAGGAAGATGAGTGGAAACATTCCCAAAAAAGCCCGTCTTCGCAAATCACAGGCTGTTCTCGAGATCCCCAACATCCAGCTAGAGGATTCTGGGAGTTACGAGTGTAAAGCTGAGAACACCAGAGGAGGCACCGCTTTCAGAGGACACCTGCAGGTCTACAGTGAGTACAGAAAAACACGTCCCGCTGATCATTAAAAAGGACAGTTCTACATGCTTTATGCTTTTAATATATATATGCGATAAGAACGAAAATGAGCAGGATGAATCACTTTGTGGTGCTCCTCATTTGTAAGTAAGTGATAAAGGCATCTACTAAATGAATAAATGTAAATGAGCAAGTGGAGAACTGATAATGGTGAAAGCCAATTCAGGTTTGTCCTACGGACATGAATGATGCTTCAAATCATGTGGGTTGTTTGGAAGAGATATGCTATTGCTTTCCTTTTGTGATTGCACTAATGATATTTGCCTGCTGGATGAATATAACTACATGTATTCATGTGAAGGAGAAACCTTCATTTGTCTTACAAAGCCTTTATAAAGCCCCAAAAAGCTTTATCTTTTAGTCAGGAACACATGTCATGACTATGAGCGAGGTGGCATTCATTATGTGTCTGTTATGTCCTTTTAAATCCAAAGGTGACATTGTTTGAGATGTGTTTATCATGACGACTTGACATTATCAAGACAACATAACTTGTCATAAATCTGTCATAAACATGATCGGTGTGAGGCCATTATAACTGTGCCATGAATAATATAACAGTGTCGTTAATATTTTTCTTGACGTCTACTGAACTGTAAAAAGTGATTAGAAGACTTTAGCTAAAAAAAGAGAGTAATTAAGTAAACAAAATATGTGCACAATTATAAAAGTTAAGTCAAGTGGATTAACTCACTTTTATAAAATAAATTCATCGATTTTGTTTATGGTGTACTGTGGTTCAAGTTTAATTATGTAATTACAATGTCATCAAATATTAATAACACTGTTATAAAAGTATTTGACATAATATTGATAATTTAACTGATCAGTTTTAATGAAAAATTCATTGTGATCCACTGGAAAAAGCGCTGAGAAACGGTGTCCCCCAAACCCAACGAACATTTGTGGATGCTCAAACTACACCAAGATGCACAAATGAGATCATACAAGTTTATATAAGTTAGCCACTAATTAAAAATGAATTCATATAGATTGCGTTGGTGATTGCTTATAGCCCTTTAAACCATATAAACATAAATCTGCCAAACATGTGCAGATGTGCACACTTTCCATTTAGTCATTGTAATATATTCAATCTAACAATTTTCCTAATGCTTGTTGCATCTTAACCATACTGAGATACGGTAATAGACTATTATAGATACTAGTTTCTTTGATTTCACCAAGTAAGACATGTTCCTGCATCTATGCTGATCCTGGAACAACATTCCAATGAGCCAATCAGATTTAGCGGTTTAAAGCTTGTGCACACCGGTACGCTTTTCTCTCACATTTATTGTCAGTGTATTTCTAGTTATTTTTCTTCATTCAAACTCAGGTGATTTTCATCGGTGTTGAGCAGAGTAATTGTGGTAAAGAACTTGCAAGTTTGGAAAGAAAAATGCAATGAAACTCACCATCAATTCCTGTTTGCTGATCTCTACTCCTACTGATTTACTTGCTGTTGCTTCTATCATAAAGCTCAATTTGAAAACGTAGCCCTATATACATTTCTGGAGATCACAAATTATGTAGCCTTAGGTTCATACTGTATGGCTGCATTTTGTCTTTAAAACGAACACTGCAGGGCGGTATGATGAGCTTCCTTTTCACACTTACCAGCTGACTGTGTGGATGGCTTTTCTGCTGTTACCAGTTTGTCCTGTGGATCGCTGCAAACGTCGGTGGACTTATGATGTGGAGCAAAGTTGACCGCTACAACAGCGTTCTAGTCTAGTGAAAAACGAAAGCCAAAAAATTTAAAACAAGTAAATAACAGGGCGAGAATGTGGTAAAATCTAAAAAAACGTGGGAAAAATCAGGCTGCCGTGTGGGCTTTTATTTTTCTTGCTTTTGAAAACACTGTCGGTTAAGTTTAGGGAAGTAGATTGGTGGGTCAATATGTGCTTTTTTAGGTTTAGGGATGGAGGACGTTGGGTTAGTCAGTCAGTCAGTCAGTCGACAGCAGCGTCTTGTAGATTTACATGAGAGGAGCAGGTGCAAATGGCACTCACGAGAGAAATTTGAGATCTCAAAATGCATACACAGTGGACTCTGGTGGATTCACATCTAAAAAAAACTTATCTCCTGGGACGTATTTGGCACTCTACAGAAATATATATAAGGGTATGTTTTTTTTTCAGATTGAGCCTGGTCAGATTGAGCTGGTTCAGACACCAATGAAAAAAAAAACAACTCCACATTCATCTTGTCTCAGTGCATTATCTTCTTCATTTAATCAAAGTGAAATTGGGATCACCTCCACAGCATGAGGTGTGTTTTTTAAAAATTATGATTTACACCTGAAATTGTATAAATTAGTGTGCATGATGACATTGTTGTCCTATGTTTACTCACAAGGCATTAGACGTCAACAAAAAGCACAAGCAAAAAGTGTTCTGTCATGATTTCGGAGACTGGAAAGAGGAGCGAGGACCCAAGTGCAGAGTAAAGGGTTATTTATTTATAATAAAATAAAATAAAAAGGCAAAACAAACAACCCGAGGGGGAAAACATTAGTAAAACAAAGAAACAATCAAAACATACTAGACTGGGTAGGCTGGCAGGGATCAGGACTGGAGGACAGAACAAGGCAGGAAATGACAACGAACTGGCACAGGACTGCAGACATGAGAAATTATAAGCAGAAATAATTAACACACAAACAGGTGAACACAAGAAACCAATAATGGGTTAACAAGGAGGGTGAGACTAGACAATAGACGGAAGAGCACATGAATAGAAAACACAACAAGCCATGGGCTCACATAAAACGGGACAAGAACACTAAAGCACAAGACTGAACCATGCGGCCACAATGTAAACACAGAGCCCTGTGCTTAGACGACACAAACATATACAGATGCAAGACACAACCACACGATAGATTAAAACGCCTTACAAATGCAACACACGTTTCATCTCAGCGCCAACCGAAACCAAAACCAACCAGATTGAGACGCTGAGAATGAAACAGCGCGATGGTCAGCACGCGAGGTCTGTGCGTGCTGACCCGGATCAAGCGGGAGTGTGCATGGTCTGAGCGCACTCACGATGGCACCCATACAGAGAAACAATGACAGAACGGAGACACAATAACAGAACAGAGACACAATGACATACAGGACAATACAGAGCTAGTGTCTGAACTCTGCCAATGAAACAAGAATTTACAATACCAGAGTGGCAGAACCCTGACACGTCATGGGGTGAACGAGCCTTTACAGTTAGAGTTATGTGGTTCTACGTCATTGTTATCCAACTATTAATTGCCCCTATTCTTGGGGTTTTATGTAGAGTTAGGGTTAGAGGTAGGGATTAGGTATGCGTTACATTTTCATAAAGGAATTATAACATAGTTGTTAATCCAAGATCACATTCTACTTGCCAAAATCGCACCCATAATGGTTGGCTTTGTTTTAACAATCATTTACAGCAACACTTAAGTTGCTCTTGGAACTACTCATACCACCATAATACCTCAAGTTTTACAAGATCTGCTCCTATTGTCATCGAAAAATGTAAAAAGTTTTACAAGAGTTATTCTTATTCATACTTTGAAGTAATGTATCGCAGTAATGTGGGAACAGGATCCATTGGGTTCATTCTTGATTAGGTTCCTTCATAAATTATTCCACAGGGCACCATCTCTCTCTTCCTTTGGCATAATTCTTCCTGCCCTTTATGACAGAAGGTATAAATTTAAGCAAAGTTGGCCAGCTTACATTTCTGTCAAAGTTTTATGAGGACAAAATGGCACTGTCCTAAGAAGACTTTGGTCCAATTAAATTTTAGAGGCTATTTTATCGTTTTTCCTGCTTGTGTAGCTGAAAATGCTGTATTTTTGACCCACATATTTCCCCTGACCCACTGTAGCTTTGATAGGGGCCTCATACAAGCGTCCGGGGCCTCCATTCATCTTTCCCAGACTCCTCTCTCTTTATCCGTTCGATAGCGTTCGTGACTTAGATGAAGTGCGTTATGTCATAAAAGTAAGTGTATCAGCGGGCCACAAGATGAATGCAGTGTCCTGGTGATTTTATGAAAACCTGGATTTAAGAGGTTTATGACTGTCACTGGGATTTATGATTCATCACAGGGTCTGGATGAACAAAGCTTGACAAAACAACAGCTGTTTGTCTTATCCGTCACAACAATGTCCAAATATACTTTTATTGTGTTCTCTCCGTCGTCGGTAGTTCAGTACCTGTGTGAGATGAACTGTGCTGCCACTCTCCATGAATCTTAAAGGAAATGAAGACCTGATCACACTAAGAAAATAATAAACATAAAGTGAAATGTTAAGTTTAATCATTTGTGTAGTTCTATAACTACGCTGTAAAAATGCCTGGTTGCCTTAAATCTTTAAGTGGAATCAAATTAACCTTATGACTCTATTGAACTTATATCATGTTAAACTGTCTTTGAAAAAAGTGTGCATAGCATAACAATTAAGTTAGAACATGATTAACCTGGTTTAATAATACTTACAATGAAATAAAAACATAAGCTGTCATGACTAATTGATCATATATATTTTTACAATGTATAGAAAAGCCAAAAAATAATGGTATCATATACTTTTGGAACAATTTAATAGCTGATACCCTCAACAACAAAAAAAAAAAAAAAATAGTAAGGCCTAACAAATAAGATTTATGTAATCTGATTGCATATAAAAGGTGCAATAATTTGGATTCCTTCGGCATAATTAAACTAATATACTTTGTAATTGATATTTGTTAGTCAAACATAATTGAAACCAATAAGAACAAGATTTCTGAAATGATATTTGGTGGCTGTTCTATATTGAAAAAAAAAAAAAAAAAAAACTTTCGTTGTGATTTTTTGTATTTCTGTGATATACAGTTAAAGACTGAATTATTAGCCGCCCTGAAGTTTTACCACCCCTGTTTGTTTGTTTTTTTTCCCCCAATTTCTTTTTAATGGAGTGA